AATGCTCTCCAGTCCCTCCTAAGTTAGGTAATAATTTACAAAGTTATTGCTCCTGTGTGCTGCATAGTATTCCATTGTGTGAATGTACCATAATTTCTCAATCCATTCGTGGTTGGACATTTGGGCTGTTTCCATGTTCTTGCGATGATGAATAATGCTGCTATGAACACTGGTGTACAAATCTCAGTTTGTGCCTCAGTTCTCATATTCTCAGGGTATATAACAAGTAGTGGAATAACTGGATCGTATGGAATTTCTATGTTCAGCTTTTTGAGGAAGCACCAAACTGCCTTCCAGAATGGTTGCACCATTTTACAGTCCCACCAACAATGTATAAGAGTTCTTTTCTCCAACATCTATTACTTGCTGCCCTATTAATCTTTGCCACTGTTACTAGAGTGAGATTGTGGTTTTGATTTGTATCTCTTATTGCCAGTGATTTGGAGCATTTCTTCATGTGTCTATTTGCCACTCAAATATCTTCCTCTGTGAAAATTCTTTCTATGCCTTTTGCCCATTTTGTAATAGGGTTATCAGTCTTTTTCTTGTGGAGGCCCGGGAGTATTCTGTAAACTCTTGTGCCAGCTTTTGTTCTAATCTCACCAAGTATTTCCCAGCCTCTAATGGTCCCTCCACTTTATATTCTACTCCTGTGATTGATATAGATGACATATCTATCACTAATATCACACACTAGCAAAATTCTGCTGAATATTATCCAGAAAAGACTTGAACAGTACATTGACAGAGAACTACCAGAAATACAAGCTGGGTTTAGAGGAGGCTGTGGCACTAGGGACATTACTGTCAATGTCAGATAGATCTTGAAAGACAGCAAAGAGTACTAGAAGAATGTCTATCTGTGTTTCACTGATAGGCAAAGGCATTTGACTGTGTTGGATCACAATACATTGTGTCTAATCTTGAGGAAAATGGGAATCTCAGAACACCTGGCTGTGCTTATATGAAACCTATACTTGGACCAATAAGCAGTCCTTAAAACAGAGCAAGGAAACACTGCATGGTTCAAAATCAGGAAAGGAATGCTTCAGGGATGCATCCTGTCCCCATATCTTTTCAATTTGTATGCAAAAAAGATCATTCAGGAGGCAGAGCTTTATGAAAAAGAGTGCAGCATCAAGATTGGAGGAAGCCTCATTAACAACCTGCAATATGCAGATGACACAACCTTGCTTGCTCCAACTGAAGGAGACCTGAAGCATTTGTTGCAAAAGGTCAAGGACTGTAGTAGTCTTCAATATGGATTGAAGTTCAACATGAAGAAAACAAAGATTCTCACCACTGGGCCAATTGGCAGCACCATATTAGATGGAGAAGAGATTGAGGTTGTTAACAATTTGCTTGATCCACAATCACTACTCTTAGCACCAGCAGTCAGAAAATCAAAAGATGAACAGCATTGGGAAAATCTGCTGTCATGGACCTCTCCAGAGTGCTGAAGAGCAGCAATGTCAGTCTAGATACAAAGATGCACCTAATCCAAGCTCTGGTCTTCACAATTACTTGTTATGCTTCAGAGAGTTGAACAATGACTAAGGATGACAGAAGAATAGATGCCTTCAAGTTGTGGTGCTGGAGAAGAGTCTTGGACATACCACTGACTGCCAAGAAAACAAATAGGTCTGTCTTGGAGAGAGTGAAACTAAGTATCTCCTTGGAGGCTAGGATTTTTGAAGCTCTGCCTCACTTACCTTGGGCACCTGGCCAGGAGAGATCGGTCCTTGGAGAAGGACATCATGCTCAGAAGGGTGGAGGGACAGCACAGGAGAGGAATACCCTGGATGAGATGAATTGATACAGTAACTGGGGCAATGGGGGAAGGTGTGTCAGAATTAGAGAGACTGGCTTAGGACAGGGAAGGTTTCAGCAGAGCTTCTGTACACAGCAGGGTCACTATACATCACAAAGGACTCAATGACACATAACAATAATAACATACTATGACAGGTTTGAAAGCAGGAGTGGCATCCACTTTGTAATCAACATGCCTCTGTAAATTCTATGAACTCTGGTAAATGTCGGTAACTGTAGAGGGGCTTCAGGCTATTTGTTAATAGGGTCGCTATAAGTCATGCTTTCTACTTGAAGGCAATCAACAACAAAAGCAAGAGTCTGGCAATGCTGCATTACAATGCACAGAGCATTCTTTTGGCTATTTAAAAAAAATATGACAAATCTTTCTTCTTAATCTATAAACTGATGACACCTATGCACCCTTGGCAGTATGTGAAATATATTACACAGCTTCTAGCATCATTCAAGCATGCCACCACAGTGCACCACAAACCAACAGATGAGTTTTGGAAAAGTGGCACAAGAAATATGTATACTATATGCTCTACTAATAAACTTTTATGACCTAGCTCCAATAGTTTGAAAATCCCTGTGTTAGAAGACCAAGGTTTTAGAGAGCAGCTAAAAAAGGCTTTAAAAAAAAGAAAAAGGGAAAAAACCCGATTAAGTTGGTTCATTTTTACCCAGGGATAACACTTTCAGTAGATTAGGTAAAAGAATATATTTGCTTTAGAATTTGCCCCATATTAGAAATTGATAATCAAGCTTAAGCAGAAACTATGCTTCTTGATCATTTGCATCTGTTATACTGCTTGGCACACAGTAATAAGTACTTCTCAACTCAACGTTGCTGAGTTGGGACTGAGTTATATATAGCTGACTCTATTGAGCCTCCCAAGGGGCTCTGGTGGCCTAGTGGTAAACTGCATTGCAATCCCAAAGACATGTGGCTTGAATCGACCAGCTGCTCCACTGGAGAAAGATGAGGAGTCTTCTACCATGCAATTAACTGCTTCTGAAATTCAGCTTGAGGGTCAGGTATGAGTTGGTTCTGACTTGATGGCACACAACATTGAGCCTAATTAAGCAGCAAATCACAGGGAAGGAAATTGGCCATCATCCTCTTTAGGAGCCACTGGTAGATAGAAACCACCAGAGAAATGTGACCTTTGGGTTAACAGTGCCAAAACTCTCAATTCCAACTGAAAGGGACTAACCCTATATGACAAGATACAACTGTCCTATGGAATTCCCTAGCCTGTAATCTCTATGAGAGCAGATGTACAAGTCTTCTGTGTTTGCTTCAAACTGCCATCCTTTAAGTTAGCAGCAAAGTGCTCAATCATTGCACCACCAGGGTGCCCAGTAAATATCTTGCCAGTGAACTGAGATATAGGCACTTGTATTTTGAGAGAACTTTTTGCAGGCAGACTGTGTATTAGTGGAAAAATAATTCATATTTATATTATTGTTTCTTCATCTGCAAAATACAAATATGTTATAGTTGTTGTTTTATATACCATAAAGTCAGAACTGACAGCTGATCCTCCACCACATTTTCAGAGGTAGAAAATTACACAGGAGGAGACTGCCCATCTTTCTCCTGCGGAACAGCAGGTGGATTCAAACAATGTGCTATCAGGTTGGCAGTTAGGCCACCAGAGCTCCCTTCCCTAATAAGTTACAGACTACCTACTTTGTAAGACTTGTAGGAATAAAATTTGTAAAATCTGTCAAAAGTTTTAAGTTATATAAATGTAAATTCTTAAAAACAAGGTTAATTACAGAAAGAGCAGTAAGAATTAAATAAAAAGAACTCCCCTAAACTATAAAAAATGATCTTTCAAGGAGATGTGACATTTCCTTCATAATTTTCACACAGTTAGTTGAAAACAGAACAAGTATGTAGTAAGTGTCAAGTATTCATCCTGTTAGGCATTGATTCCAGCCTTCATGTGCTCTAGTTTCCTTTTGGCTTTGATTCTGTATTTTGCCCAAGGTCAGAACTTAGATTTCCATTAGTCAACATTATTGTTCTTTGTTGGTAGTAAAAATATGCACTTGTACACACCAAGTTGTTGATAAACTCAATCCCTGAAAAGGTGAAAAAAAGGTAGATACTGTTTTCCATTTTAACTCTTCCTCAGAGAAAGACTATCTAGTCTAAGGCTTCTATTTTAAAAAGGGAGCTCTGGTAGCCTAGAGGTAAGGAGTTGTACTGCTAACCCAAAGGCACATGGTTTTAATTCATCAGCTGCTGCTTGGAAGAAACATGGGCAGTCCCCTCCCATGAGATTCACAGCTTCTGAAAACCACTGGAGGATCAGCTCTGAGCTGGTTCTGACTCAAAAGCATACAACAACTATTTAAAGATAAAATCTCTTATTTAAAGTTATTTAAGATGTGCTAGTACCATGTTCCTATGACTTAAAACAAGAGTTATTTAATATGCATCTCTAAAGTTTAAAAAAATCTAGCCTGATAAAATTTTAAGTAGTCTTTCCTAATCTTTTTAGATCACCTTTTAGCATTGAACCTAGAATTATCATTTTTTAGACTTCAATAGAACAAGGTGTTTGTTTCTAAAGTTCTGGACACTAAAATATAAAGTTTATAAATTTAATCAAAGAAATTACCAGCTATAGTTCATTGTTTTTCTATGATAAATGGAATCCCGAGAACCATGTAATTCTATAAATCTTCTGCTTAATACTCAAATTTAAGCTTACTATCATAGCACAGTATGAACACTTCATATGCTCCGAAGTCCTTTCATATACTATGTTCTATAATAGATAATAAATACATGTATTCCTTTGTAACTGCTTAAAAGAATAGTATAAATTGGTTAGATTATGTAAGGCATCATCCTTTAAAAATTAAAGGTTTTAATGCTCAAATGCCACTATTCCTAAATTTAGGTGACTGAAAAATAGAAGTACATAATATGCTACCTCACACTCTCCTCCCCAAATAGGCTGGATTATATCTCTTTGATTTATACACTGTGACTTTTTCCTGCTGTGTTCCATCAACCTTAATTGTGAAAAATGGTGCCATATTGCCCTCTTGGTATTATTTTGGAGACCAGTTAGGTCTTAAAGCATTCAGATGCATACAGTTCTACACATAGCTGTAGAATTAGCTCACTAAGGTCTGCTCAGTAATATTTTTAATTGACTTACGTGTTCTGTGGGAACAGAAGAATCATAAAAAGTCTTTGCAATTGCATTCCTCTCTTCACTGAGCTCTCCCTTGGGATTTGGATGGATACCTGAATTATTCAAAGTGTCAGCAACTCTGTTAATGCTGGCAGTATCTGATGGACAAAGAGGAAATGGCAACAACAGAATTTGTATTCTCTTGGCATTTATTTTAGACTGAACTTATTTCTGATCCTATACTTTTGTGATTGTAAAGTAACAATTTGTTTTCACTTTACTCAGAAATTTTCGTTTTCCAAGTCTTTGCTTTTATATTATCCATTCCATTTCATTAAAACAAGTAGAATTTATTGTTGCTATTTTCTAAATGCTGCTCACTATAATTTCACATTAAAAAGAATGAAATTAATGTAATTATATTCTAAAACAATAACTCATAAAATGTTAGTTCTTACTCCCTGGATACTGCATTATCCACACATGTAAACATTTATATAGCAAATATCTCACCAATTCAGATTAATGGCAAAAGTCAGGACCAACTAAATGTCAGATTCATAAAATATGTTTAAAGAAGTTGGCTATACTAAAAGCACACAAAGGGCTGTCTAGGAGTCCCTAAGCTTTAATAAGTAGGTGAAAATTATTTAAAGAAATATGTCATCTCTAACAGTTAGAAGACATTTGTGGTGTGTTTCAAAGTCTTTTACTACAAGTTGAATTTCTACAGAATTTTAGATATTTTCCTTTTGATCTTATTTATATGATTTAGATGCAATTTAGAAAAAAAAAAGGCAAGAAAATTATAAACACTGGACCAACAGCACTTAACAAACTTTAAAGTTAATGGAATCCCAAGTAATATATTTTGTTATACTAGGATAACTATACTTTGATAAATAAAGTTTACACTCTCCTATTATTATTTTTTAAACTTCACTATTCTTCCAAATATACAGAATATGCAATGAGTTTGGGTAAAAATAAAACCTCCTTTTAATATGACAATTTTTATCTAAAACTAAATTTGTTTTGAGGGCTTTTACCAAAAATATAGTAAACAGAAAAATTAATTTTTAACAAGTGAACTTTTTAAACAAAGTATAGCTTTATTTCAAATCTTGTTTTCTTACCTGCTCCAGCATCCTTCTTAGCTTCATCCACACCAACATTTTTGCCAACTGTTACAGAAAAAATCTTTTTATTTTCAGATAAATCTATTGGTCTTTCCTTTGGCAAGAAAATAATGCTCGAAGTTGAAGTCCTCCCCGTTTGACTCTCAGTGTGATTTACTTTTGACCAAGCACTAGGGTCTAAAAAATTCACATATACTGGAGTTTTCTCAATTTTTTTATCTGACGTTGAAGGATCAAAGGCTGACCTTCCACTTCTGTTCACTAAATCTCCAGATGGTGTTGTGTGATATGAACATGATTCTTCGAGCTGTCCTTCAGTATAATTTTTTTCTGAACCAATGTTATGTAATGACTCTGTTTTCTCTGTATTATTTAATAGTGAATGCTGTCTTTCGTTAATATTCACAAAAAGGAGTTGGTCATCTTTTGTGGCTTCCATTAGCTGATCTTCATCAATCTGACTGTCTTTATTAGCAGACTCTATTTCTGTGGAAATTTTCCTATGAACAGCAATGTTTATATCTGAAGTATGTTTATGTTCCTTGTTAATCTGTAGATGAGGAATAGTCACATTATTATTTTCTAGGTATTCAAAAAAATTTGTAAATTGACTACTTTGAATATCATTTAGATTTTTCCATGTAGTTCTCTTCCCAGGGCTTGACTTGGGTTTTACTGACATAGATACAATATTGACACTTTTATCTGAATTTTCAAGAAGTTTCAAACTATCAGGGAAAACAGCAGATGAAATGGGGGAATTGCTTGCTAAATCACAGGAAATATTTAGGTTATCATTTTCTGGAGTATCATTACAGATATGCTGAAAACTTGACGTTCGTTTAAGTGGTAGTATGCTGCACTCGCTGTTTTTATTTAGCAGTTGGATTGGTTTCCTTTTATATTGTTTATCAGCTAACATAATGCTACTTGAATGTTGTGAATTATGCTTCTCACACTGAACTGGATTCTCTTTTACATTTAGAGATGAATCCAAATCTGTTTTGGTTTGTTCAGTATTTGTCATTTCCCTCTTTGTAGAGTTTTCTCCAGTATTTGGAAACAATTTTAACTGTTGTTTGAATAGTTCCTTTTCAGAAACATCTTTATTATGATTTGTACTGTGAGCCATCTCATTAAAACTACTGTCAGATGATGTTCTATTGTTTGCAACCTCCACATGCACATTGAGATGGTGACGGTCCCATTCTTCTCTACTTTCTAGATGTATCATTTTTGTTTCTGTTGCTATATCACTCACTACAAAAAGACTATCTGGTGATTTAAGTTCTGTACATCCATTGTCTTTTACAAAACACATCTTGTCTTTTATCTCGGTAGCAACTGATTTTCTAAGACCTGTGATATTCAAAGTTTGTCTATGAGCAATTAATTCTTTATTCATGCAGATTGTTTTGCTTAGGGAGATTCCACTTCTATTTTCATTCACAGGAATAGTAGTATTAATTTCGGTTTTGTAGAATTTTTCAAGAAGATGTAAATCTGTTAGGAACATAATAAAATTGTGTATTATACATTAAAGCGTGCTTTTATGAAGTTCTTATTTTTATAAAAAGAGGCAATCGAGGTGTAGCAAATTAAGTGTTGGATTACTAACTGAAAGGCCAATATACTAACTGAAAGGCCAATAGTTTCAAACTCACCAGAATGTTGAGGCAATCTCCTTTCATTAAAATTTACAGCCTCAGAAACCTTATGGAGGGTCATTATGAGTTGGGACTAGTTCAGTGTCAGTTGATTTTTATTTCTTTTTATAAATATGTTGCTATTGTTGTTGTAAGCCTTTGAGTCAATGTTTACTTATTCATTATTAAATATTTCCTTGCCCAGTAATTATAAATGTAATAATATGCATTTATACCAAGATATTGTGATCCTTTTATTATAGCAAATGTTTACTTATGCTAAATTAGTGGTAGAAGCTGCGCTTCCATCCTGAAGGCATCCGATTTGAGGCCACCAACTGCTCTGCAGGAGAAGAATGGGCATTCTGCTCCTGTGCAATTAAGTGTCTCTGAAAACCTGCTAAAACGTCAGCAACAGGTCAGTTTCGACTCTATGGTACCCAACAACAATTTAGTAGTAATTGTGCTGTCATCCCAAAGGCAAGTAGTTTGAATCCATCAGCTGCTTCAAGGGAGAAAGTTGGGCATTCTGCTGCACAATTTACTGCTTTTGAAAACCCGCTGGAGGGTCTGCTATGGGTCAGTTCTGACTTGACTGTATACAACAACAACAACAACGTCACTTTTAGGGAGTTCTGGTGGCCTCTAGGTAAGAAGCTTCAATGCAATCCCAAAGGCATGTGGTTCAAACCCACCAACTGCTGCATGGGAAAATATATAGGCAATCCCCTCCCATTCAGTTTACCACCTCTGAAAATCCACTGGGGGGTCAGCTATGAGTCACTACCAACTTGAAGCAAAACAACAGCAGCAGCATAATAGCTTTTAGATAACTCTGACGGCACAGCCCACAAGGAGTTGAGCTGCTAACTCAAAGGCCACACACAACTTTTTGAGTTTAAATTCACCAGTAACTGAGAGAGAAATACGAACAGTCTGCTCTCATGCAATTCATAGCCTCAAAAACCTCACTGGAGGGTCATAAAATGTTAATTTAGTAACAGAAAACAGTTACTTTTTTAATGGAAATAACTTGGGGGATTACAGAATGCTTTTTATTTCACTAGTCTATTGCTTCCTTTTGGTCAAAGGTCACAATTACATATATGGCTAATTCTATTGGAATTTATATTAACAATTTATACTGTAATTTCTTTGCTATCAAGGTCTCTGTATATAGGAATATGTATGTATTTAGAAATTGTTAGCTTGGTTCTTCAAGACTAACAGTCATCATTTTATTATTCATTCTCTGAATATTTTAATATTCTGGAATAGTTTTAAACAAGAATATAAACTATGTACTTAAACAAATATTTTAATTTAATTTCATTAATTAATATTATAGTTTATAATTTAATTATTAATTATAATTAATATAATTTAACTTCTCTATGGTCTAACTATAAATGTCTAGTTTTCAGTGTAGTTAAAATAATCAGAATACAAATTTCAGGACTTGAAGGGCTTTTTAGTTCAATCATTCTCTCTACAATATCTCCACCAAGTGGTTGTTTAGCTTAGATCTGCATACCTTCAAAGGATCAATGCCACCTCTAAACATTACTTTTTCAAGATGGAAGAATTAGTAAATCATTTCAATGATTACAGAAAGGTCCTTTGAACTAAAAAAAGTGCTCTAGATCTGCTTAACAGAAAACTATTAGTGACTCAGAATATTCTCAGTTAAGGTGGTGAAACCAGAAGCCAAAAAGCCAATAAGAGGAGGCAGAAATCTATTCTTCCCCCCTAAAAATATTTACTGTAAATAAAAGTTTTATTAAAGCTTATTTTGCTAAGGGATATATAATTAAGAAGATGTTTCTCTTAAATATACTCCAAAATGTCAAAGCAAAGATGGTAATTTCTATGGTCCCTGAATTGCTTAGAAAACTGCTTTCTGACAGTGCTTTAAACAAAGCAGGTGCTAAAAAAATTATGCTAATTGAAGACCGAACCTTTGAAAAGAACAATGTTATTTACCTTTTCCAGTGGATTCTTCTGCAGGCAGGCCTTCTTTCTTTTCTTCCCTTTCTCTGAAGTCAGAATTTGAACTATTTTTTTCCCTAACTTCTTGTTCAGAATTACATTTCTCTGTGTTGATGTTTTCTGATTTTTCAGTTGAAGTTTTACTGTTTTCATTACTTGCTTCTGGAACATTCTAAAGGAAAACAGAAAATGTTCCTTTCATTAAAAGCAGAGTGTTAAAAAGCATAAGTTTGCCACCCAAGCAAATATATGCACACCCCTGTTTACTGCAGCTTTGTTCACAATAGCAAAGAGCTGGAAACAACCCAAGTGCCCATCAACAAATGAATGGATAGAGAAGCTGTGGTATATTCACACAGTGTAATACTACGCTGCATTGACAAACAAGGAATTCATGCAATATTATGCAAAATGGATAACCCTGGAGGACTTTATGCTGAGTGAAATATCTCAGTCACAAAAGGACAAATATTGCATAGGGCCACTGTTGTAAAACAGGACTGATATCGGGGTTGAGGGAAGACAGAGAAGGAGGGGAGGAATAATGTGTACTGCACTGAAACAGATGACGGAGAGAACTGTTTAAAAGGGATATATGATTGGGTATTATTGTCATGACAGGAGTCCACAATGAAAGCTGCACAGTGGAGTGGACTTGGGGGGAGGGATTGCATAACAATGAAAGAGTTTTTCTTTTACTTTTCAAGAAGAGTGAATGAGGGGGAGGGGATAAACAGGGAGAAAAGTGCAACAATGAATGACTAGAAACCTAAGTATCTGTAAACTTTCATTAAAATTAAATTTAAAAAAGCATAAGTTTGAATGCTATTTTTTGTCATTCATTCATTTTCCTTGGATCCACAATTCAGCACTCAGGGAAGCAGCAGTCAGGATTTTTTTATTTTTAAGTACTGCATTAGGCAAATCTGTACTTTAAATATCAAGATACGCCTGACCCACGCCATGGTATTTCAGTCACTTCATATGCATGTAAAAATTGGAGAATGAATAAGGAAGACCTAAAAAGAACTGTTGCCTCGGAACTGTAGTGTGGGTTAAAAATACTGAAATGCTAAGGACTAAAAAAAAAAAAAAAAAAAAAGCCAAACCCAAAAACAGACTAAATGAATGTGTTTTGGAAGAAGTGTGGCTAGAATGCTCTTTAGAAGCAATGATGTTCACATACTTTGGCCAGGTTATCAGAGAGGGCCAATCTCTCTCTAATCAAGGACATCATGCTTGGAAAAGCAGAGGGTAAAACAACTACAAGTTATCATCTCACACCAGTCAGAATAGCAAAATTTAACAGAATAGCAAGCAACAAATTCTGGCAAGGTTGTGGAGAAGCTGGAACCCTTATTCACTGTTCGTGGAAGTATAAAATGGTGCAACCACTGTGGAAGGCGGTGTGGTGCTTTCTCAAAAAGTTGCAAATAGAAATACCATTTGACCCAGCAGTTACGTTACTGGGAATATACCCCTAAGAGACTATAACTGCCACCCAAGCAGATATATGCACACCCATGTTTATTGCAGCTTTGTTCACAATAGCAAGGAGTTGGAAACAACCTAAGTGCCGATCAACAAATGAATGGATAGAGAAACTATGGTATAATACTACGCTGCATTGACAAACAAGGAATTCATGCAATATTATTCAAAATGGGTGACCCTGGAGGATATTATGCTGAGTGAAATATCTCAGTCACAAAAGGACAAATACTGCATAGTGCCACTGTTGTAAAATAGGACTGACATCGGGGTTGGGGGGGAGACTGAGAAAGATGGGACAAATAATGTATACTGCATTGAAACAGATGAGGGAGAAAACGATTTAAAAGGGATATGTGATTAGGTATTATTGTCATGACAGGAGTCCAGAACGAAGGCTTCATAGTGGAGTGGACCTGGGGGGTGGAGTTGTAAAACAATGGGGGAACTTTACTTTTCAAATAGAAGAGTGTACTAGGGGGAGGGGTGGGCAGGGAGAAAAGTGCAACAATGAATGAATGGAAATCCAAAGTCTCTGTAAATTTTCATTAAAATTAATAAAAAAATGATAAAAAAATAGAAGTAGAGGGCTATCAAAAGAGAAGATCCTCAATGAAATGGATTGACACAGTGACTGGAACAAAAGGTTTAAGCACAGCAGAAACTGAGGATGAGGCAAGATAGGGCAAGGTTTCATTCTGTGTTCACAGTTTTTATGACCTGGAACAAACAACTTGACAGCATGTCACAACAGTCATTGTAAGAAGACCACTTTCTTTTTAACAGCTGACCATACTTAAACAGAACAAGGACCTATGGACACTTTGATGTTTGAACACTCACATGATTATACAACATCATGAGTTATATTACTTACTACAAAAGTACCATGCCTATTTTAAAAATAAGGTTATTAAGGCAAGCAAAACCACTAATAATCTCAACATCCTTTTTCATGCCAAATATTGTATGTGAAGCACTGCATTAGGCTTGAGGCATTGAGATACATTAACTAAGTATCTACAGTCTCTGCCTAAAAAAACTTAAAAGTTCAGTAGGAAATATAGGAAAAGAAAGAAATGGCAACCTTAATAAAACCTCATCCATGCTTTTGCAAAAAGAATTCTATCTCTGTTTGGGGGAACCAAAGCCTTAAATACACTTGAACTATGTTGCGGAATTATAGAGACGGGAGCAAGGAAGCAATCCAAGGAGAACAAACGTCATGCAGAGATGCTTGAAAGCATAATTATATGAAGCACCTTATATAAGCAGGATTATGAAGCTATACGTAATTTAGTTTCGTGAGCTTAGAGGCTGGAAGAAAGGGGAGAAATGAAGCTTGAGATAAGCTGGGATTTGACTAGTAAGGGCCTACTCTACCATGCTGTATCTGTTGTATCACAATGACTCCTAGGATCACTATAGATTGTCACCTCAACAGCACCTGACAACATACCCTGCTACTAAGGAATTTCAACTGTTCCAGGAAGACACTGAGAAGACACTGTTATTTTTGGTTTAAAGGTACACATATAGTCAATGAAACATAATGAAGTCCAGAAATTGACCCATCATATATTTGGCTAATTGTTTTTCAGTGAAAATGTTAAGATACTTTAGTGGAGAAACAGTTGTATTTTCAACATATTTATGTGCTAGAACAATCAGGTATCTATTAATTCACACTATACACAAATCCTTATCTCACGTTGTACACAGATTAACTAAAAATAAAAATGTATTGTAGATCACCTGCTTACACTATTTTTCATTTAAATAAAATTTTTATTTTATACTGGTTTACTTACGAAGCTCATATACATTGTTTTTCACACTGGATCTTTCACATTTCCTTTACCCAGCCCTCCTTACACTAATTTTTTAACTTGAGCAACTAAAAACAAATTAGGGAGAAAAATCATCAGTGTTGATTTTAACTTTTTAACAAGTATGTGGTTCCAATTTGTTTGAGTTTTACCTGAAATTTCTTGTCTTCTTCAAACTTTTTCTGATCACTTATTTTGTTATAATGTTCTTGTAACTTAACATGCGTTTCTTTAAGTGACAATAATTCATTTCTAATCTCATTAATTTCTCCATTAAGTTCTTCAACCTATCATAAAATTTAAACAAAATTAGCTATGTATTTTATATGAGAAAAGTAACACAGGTTATGTGAAACAGCAAAAGATTTCTAAAAATCACAATATAATTAATACTCAAGTTGACATTTTATTGAATGATTGCTATGAACAATGTATTATACTCAGTACTATCTGCCATAATTTAAGACTCATAAAAGCTCTCTGAAGGTGTTTTATTCCAAATTTGCATATAAGGCCCATAGAAGACAAGCAACTTGTCCAAGATTAAGTGGAAGTCAGAACATAACCTAAATCTAAGGGCTGTTTTTTAAATTATCATATTAAACTACCCCCTGTTAAAAATGAAACATGATGAAATTCTTTTAATCATAAAAATTCTTACACAAGTTTCACCTTTATTGCCACCTGACAGTGTTATTTTCTTGTTGGGTTTTTTAGTGTAATTTTCTTATTGCAAATTAGATAAACATACAGATTTTAATTCAACTAGATGAAGAGGAGAAGTCCTTGTACCACAGTGCATTGTGTTGGGCTCTGAGCTCTAAGGCTGACAGTTCTCTAAAGAAAGATGAAGCAGTTCTCACCCATTAAAACTGATAGCCTCAGACACCCAATAGAGAGTCTCCATGAGTTAGAATCTATTCCATGAGGGATTGGGTTTTGGCATTTTCTGCTGTTGTTTGATGAAAATATTTGAGCACCAAATAAAACAATAGACATTTCAACCTAATTATTTACATTCATAAATTGCACTCTCACTGGCTGTAAAATCTTATTAACCCAGGAGAAGTCTTTAATGGGAATTTCTAATAGGGAACAAATTTTCTTTAAGGAGGAAAGAACATTTTGTAATGAACCTACATAAGTTTCTCTTGATTAAAACTCCTAACAAAAATATTACACAAGTTTATAATATTCTTAATACAGATTTCTAGACATGAACCCATCAGTTCATTCTTGTTCTATGAATCTAAGTCCTCGAACTATTCTCGTTATCTTTCTTCCTCTCTGACCTTGCTAGTCACCTCCTCCCTTCTGCTTATTCTTGGGTCCTTCCTCTACATGAGTATCTCCTTCTCAGACTACACAAATATTTCTCAAACATTCCTAATTCTTTTCTCCTTTACTGAACGACTCTGTCTCACTTCTTGAAATAAATATATTTGCTATTTTCAAATTTTAACATGTACTCACTCCTTAATAACTTACCTCTGCCTTCACTGTTTTACTGATAATTTTTTCTAATTTAACTCACAAAAAAACAAAAGGGTTTTCTGATGCTTCATGACACTTAGTAACCATTTGATTGTTGACTCTTTCTGAAACAACCTTTTCTCTTGATTGTTATGTTGCTGTTATCTCTTGATGCTCTTTCACACTCCAACAAAGGCACACTATCCACTCAGAAAACACTGGAATTCCTCAAGTTGCTACCTTTCTTTAACTCTATTTGCTTCCTCATAACATCACCAAAGTATCTGAGACAAATTCTCACTCTCCTTGCTTGTAAGGAGCACTCTGGCTGTAACCAGGTTTAGAAAGCAGGAAAGAAAAATGAATGGAAACAGGAAACCCAAGAGAAAATGAGGAGTTCTATTATACTGATGGGATTGCAACTAATGACATGAAACACAATGTATATAACTGTTGACATGTACTCTGTAAACTTTCACTGAAACTATAATAAATTTTTTTGGAAACTATAATAAAAAGTTTAAAGCAGAAACAAAACTACCAACCAAGATACTTCTCAATGGTTTCTCATTACCTATACAATTCAGCTGCCTTACTAAGGAGCCTTTCAGAAGTGGATCTCAACTGCCTTTCAAATGTCACATTCCACAACCCTCTATGCTTTATCCAGAGCAGATTATTCATTACTCGTGAAAGTTTTCATGCTTCCTTGATTTTTTTCCATCATAATAATAATAGTAGTATAGGATAGAGAAGAGTTAAGAATAAGTACCTATGTAGCCTATCTGAATGAATTTCAAAGAAAGAATTTTTCTTTTTTCAAAGAGAGGAACAAACTGGGGGGGAGGGCTAGGCAGGGAGAAAAAGTGCAACAATGAATTAATGGAAATCCAAAATCTCTGTAAATGTTCATTAAAATTATTAAAATAAAATTTTTAAAA